ATATATACATATATAAATACATATATACACACATACACACACGACACACACACACACACACACACATATATATATATAATATTGTCGGTTGAATGCCTAATATGCATACACAAGCAAAAGAGATAGCATCAGCTCAGTATTGTTATAGCAGCTATCATTGATAGGGGTTGATGCGCCGAAACATTCAGCACACATTCATAAGCTTGCATATCCGTGCTGTGCTTCTGACTACGGTTGAAGGTGATTTGCCACTGGTTCTGTACCCATATCCATTCTATTTCCATGTATCTTTGCACTTGCATAGTGTAGTTACCGTATAAGTATATACTCGGCAGAAACCTCATACATACTGACCAAACGGGTTGGTGTCATTGTTGCTTCGGAGGAGAGTACGATGGATACTCTGAATACGTTCACTTCATCGCAATGTCCTGTATGCCTGCTGTACTTCAGCCGGTCAAGGTGGCATATATACAACTAGTACTGTTCTAAGCTAACTAAACGTAAATACATCTGTATTTTAAATACGTTTACGTCGGAAAACCGCCATTCCAACTATCATTGACAATATTGCTTTGATTTTCTATACACACAGCAACAGAAACCACATACCTGACCCAACGCATTGGCGTCCGTATTGCTTTGGTGGTTAATACCAACAGTGAATGGTTCTCGAAACGTATCTGCATCGTCGAAGTGATCTGTATCGGTGTTGTACTTTAGACCGTCGCTGTAGGTGTTGTACTGATTGTCGGTCTCCCCATCGCCTCGTAAGTTAAGATGGAATTTTCCGTCGTCCTTTTTTCTGAGCCGCATCTCGCGTAGGTCACGTGCCTGGGTAGATAGATACAACACATACGCACAACAACACTGTTAGTACGGTAGGCCTGCTTAGACTGGGATGTGCAAACGATAATTATAAACGTGGAGGTTATACGGTCGGCTGTCTTTTTATCTGAGTTGCTTTTGTTTGAGGTCGAGTGCATATATGAGGGTACACAGTAAACACAGTCACGCTATTAGTACGAGAACGATTAAGCCAGGTAATGGTTATATAGTTGTATATATATTTATATGTATACATAAATACATGAGTACATACATACATACAGACATACATACATACATACCTACATAAATACATACATACACACACGCAAACACATACATCATACATACATTCATACGTCCAAAAATTCACACATCCACATATCCACATATATATCATAACAGCAGTAGACCCACCTGCGGAGTCATGCCAAAAGGCAACCCTTCACTCTCCTCTGCCTGCTGTCGTCTATCCGCACTATCCACCTCTCTCTGTGCATGTTCCATACTACCAAACGTAGGCGCGAAGCCCTGATTACCGCTGAAACCCGAGCCTCCCGTGTACCGGTGATTAGCTGAAGTGTATCCCTCGTTGTTGTTCGTGTGTGCGTAGGTGCCTGTTGGGTGGGTGGGATAGATAGGTGTTAGGTGATCTGGGTGTGTGAATGAATCTTGGGTGTACGGGAAAGTGTCTCAGCGATGGATAGCTAGGCTTATTCCACCAATGTATGCATCTGTGTACAGAATAGATCACTCTTTGGGATATAGTTTGTAGGTATGTAATATATATATATATATATATATATATATATATACATATGGCAGCCTATGCGCATACCTTGTCTGAGGACATGCACATACCTCTAATGAGAACATGGCCCTCATTTTTGTATATCGTCTGCGTCCACGAAGAACCGCCAACTGATCACCCCACATAGCCCACCAACACCCAGCATAAGCATACATACCATTGATTCTGCCAGAACAAGATATATTCTAAAAGCAGATCCTTCCACCACTCCTACCCCATACTGCTGTAGGTGTGTACGCATACAATCCCATACTGCTGTATACATGCACGCACATACGTATATATGCAACCACAGCGAGTCACAACAGGAACGCACGCATACAAGCACAAGCCCTACCTACCTGCTTGTGCAAAGGTACTTGTGTATGTGTAAGGCTGGTCGCTTCCACCTTTATACGGAGTGATGGTGGTGAATTCGGGGGCGTCGTAATAAGCTGTTTCGTCTGCGGAGTCGTCATTCTGCACATCGGGAGAACAAAAATAAGATACGGATTTCTGTATACGTATACGGTTATGTGCAGGCAGGCATAAATACCTTTTTTATAAACGTATTTGTGGTTAGTATGGATTAAAGACTCGAGTTCATCCGATAGAATAATTTGCGGTTGTCCATTTACGTTTACGAGTATGTGATGGTATGTATAAGTCTTTCCTTTTAACGTTATTCTGTGTTGTCTAGATTAAAGACTCCGAATTCAGTTCTTTAGTAACAACAACATGCATACACGAGTATGCGATATGCTGATTTGGTGATAAGTAGACGAAACTCTAATTTGGCTTTAGGTTCGCAATAGCATGCAACTGACCGCATTGTTGTATCATCTATAATATCTGGTTTTCACTCGCATCAACTGCTGTCAAATGATTCTCTCATACAAACACCATCACCGTGAAAAGATGAAAGTACCCATACGTAAAGTAAACGATCACTTGCATTGCATATTCTTTCTCTTGTCTTCAACGTATCACGAATACACTTAGTCTCCGCTTTCGCTTAATACAATCTTATATATATATATTTATACATATACACACACACACACACACACACACACACATATATATATATATATACAAAATAAGAAGAATATAATACAATAATATGATAATATAATAATATAATAATACAACAAGTAAAATAGTATAACAATATAATAATATAATAATAAAAATATATATATATATATAATATATCATAACGGTTGTCCGCCAGTCACCACTTACATCTATACTCTTCTTGGATAGGCCCTGTAGTACGCGTATAGCCGCCTTGCGATCGTCAGTAGACGGTATTCCTTGAAGCAGTGATATCGCTTCTGTGACCATAAAAAAAAAGCCGTTGTTAGTATGTTCTTGCCTCAATTGTATATCTATCTGAAACAAAATTAGACAGACACGGGCCAATACCTAGGCATGTAACGAGATCACATATACATACCATGCGTACACGAACACACTACCACAAGGGCAACACAATCGGTGCGCATGCGAGGTTACAATAACAATCCAACACAACAGACCTACCCGTAGTGAAGTTTTCCGCTTTGAGCTCAGTCAGTGGTACGCCCATGGTAGCCGCCTCCATCTGGACAGTGAGTTGGTTCACCTGCTTCTCCAGTTTAGAAAGCCGGCCTACCGTCTCCTTGATCCCCTCCTCAAGCTCTGCTTTAGCCATATACTTCGGTTGCGCCGGGGTGAGACTGATGGAAGCAGGGGGTTATGATACGTTGGATTTAGCGTACGAGCCATGAGATTGAAAACGTTATTAACGGTACATACATTAGAGACAGACAGACAGACAGGCAGGTCATGTACTCACTACGCGACTTTGCTTTGTGTGTCTTGGTCAGTGGCGGTAGAGGGCATAGTAGCAGTCTGGGTGTCTGGGGAGTGTGGAAACAAGCTGTATAGGACAACCTACCATCGAGCCCACTCGGATAGTATCGATTACACCTTTTTTTCGGGCTGTTAGTAAAATATATCGCAATATACGTTTATACAGTATGTGTCAACAACTCCATTGCCTGATTCATACACGTATAGACGCGTGCACGTACATACACACATACTCACACCAAGACAGACAACTACAAACGTACCTAGTAACCATTGCACTAGACAGACAACTACAAACGTACCTAGCAACCATTGCATTAGACAGACAACTACAAACGTACCTAGTAACCATTGCACTAGACAGACAACTACAAACGTACCTAGCAACCATTGCATTAGACAAACAACTACAAACGTACCTAGTAACCATTGCACTAGACATACAACTACAAACGTACTTAGTAACCATTGCATTAGACAGACAACTACAAACGTACCTAGCAACCATTGCATTAGACAGACAACTACAAACGTACCTAGTAACCATTGCACTAGACAGACAACCACAAACGTACCTAGTAACCATTGCATTGTCGCCCGGGTACAGCCGCTTTAACTGGGCATCGATGCCCTCAGAGTCATACGCCTTGGCTCCACTCACATAGGGCTTGCCATAGGTAGTTGACCCGTACGTGTTTGTAGTACTAGTACTGTTGTACAGGCCTGCTGTAGTGGTTGAAGCGCTGGGCCGGTTATCTGATACGCCCAGTGTTCCGAACTTGCTCTCCCCGGCACTAGAGGCCGTGTACCTATCACCCGTCGTAAACTTATCATTTGTCGTAAATCTATCGTTTGTCGTAAACCTATCACTCGTGGTATACCGGCCGAAGTTGGGCTCGGACGCTGTGCTATACCTATTCGCGCTTGCGGAGCTATACTTGAGATTGAGGTTGTTCAGGGCGGGATTAGAGTATCTATTTATATCCGAGTTGGCTGTGGGATTTCCCATATTTGGTTCGGCGGGTTCGGCCTTCTCTCTTACCGGAGTGGGCCCTGTGATGGACGCTGCAAATTTGTTCACAGAAGTAAAGTGTGAGCGAATGTCTTATGAAGTGTATGGAGGAACTAAAAATAGCACACTCTAAATGTAGAGCCAACAATCTAAAAATAGCACACTCCAAATGCAGAGCCAACAATCTAAAAATAGCACACTCCAAATGCAGAGCCAACAAGCTAAAAATAGCACACTCCAAATGCAGAGCCAACAAGCTAAAATTAGCACACTCCAAATGCAGAGCCAACAAGCAAGCTTCGATGACCTCAATACGATCGGAACATAGCGAAAAGACAGGTATAACAACTAGGTTTTAAACGATTTAGTTGCAACGAAAACGTAAGAAGTGCTAGAGGTCCTGTTCGGAAAATGTCCACATGGCAGAGATAATGGAGATGAACAGGCTTTTAAACGAATTGGTATCCACGAAAACGTAAGAAGTGCTAGAAGTCTTGTTCAGAATAAGGCAAACGATGGCATGGCAGCTAAGAAGAAAGAGATTCTAGCCAACCAACCACTGCCCAAGTACCCTTGTGGTTGAGTTTGACTAGAGCCAACAATCCGCATTTAAATTATGTAGTATGATAGGTCACCAATTGTGAGTGTCTGAAGACATACTGAAAGTATCTTGAAGCACTACATGCCAGATAGATATTTGTTGAGCAATGGGTATGGTTGCGAGGAAGTGGTTGCGCGATATATATATATATATATATATATATATATATATATATATATATATATATATATATATATATATACTATATATATATACTACTCTACTATAGTAGTTAGTTACG